ACACACACACACACACACACACACACACACACACACACACACACACACACACACAGAGTTAGGGTTATTTGAAAAAAGTGCACTCAAGGACCTAAAATCGATATAAAATTTAGTGGTGAGAGTTAATCGGAAACGTATGTTGTGCGCTACAACAACCTAACATGAAGGGCGGACTAAAAAGTATGTAGCCCATCTTGGTACCGACCAAAGCAGTCCGAACATGTTCACTTATGAAGAATCTTAATTTTCTCATTGTTACCCCTTTGTAGGGTTATTACTGCTTGTAAGAAAAAGGTGCTCAAACAAGACAGAGGCATATTCTCAAGGTCTGAGGCCTAAACGTTGGTGTTGGTGGTTTGGCAAAAGTGAGAGACAGATCCTGGAAAAGAGATTTGCCTCACTCTAGCACAGAAATGTGGAGATTTAAATAACTTAACTAACAGCAGACAGCTGGAAAAACAAAAACAACAAAATCCCATGCAAAAACCAAACAGGCAACATCAACAAAAACTCCCATGATTCACTGAGTGGGCTGAAATGTAAACCATCACTGGGGTGGAGATCTAGGATCAGGTGCTGATCACATTGAAAAGGTTCCAAAAGACTGTTGTTTAAAAATTGACACAGATACAGTGGTTACTAATTAAAAAAGAAAATCAAACCCCAAACTGCAATGGTACAAGCAAGATGATTTCCACCAATTAAAAAGGTAACAAACTTCCCACATTGTACAACCTGTTCCAGTTCGGGAGGGTGTCGGGTAGCTGAAGGGGGTGGGGACAGGAAGCGAAGGAGAAATTTATGTACAAAGACCCTTTTTTCTTTAATGCAGTAGTAGGACTTTGGCACTATAAACAATTCCATAATGACGCTCCATGAGACTATTTCTCCCTGTGCCTCTGCAAGCACGGCTCTATCTGGAGTCACAACTTGTTGGCTATCTTGTCCCACGGAGGAAAAGAGATTTATTCCATGTTCAGATGGATTTTTCCCCCTTAGTTATCAGGAGAACATGGTTGATTGGTATCCCTACAAAAATAAGAGAGATGTATTCTTTGTTATTAAAATGATCAGCATGGTCGCTTTAAACAGCATTCAATTTACTACTTCACATTTATAGTGCTATTATATGAACTGTATCTTGAAGCCTTCCTATTCCCATAGAAATCTTTTTTGGTCTTGGTGCAGCATGCCAGATTTCTTTATTTTTCAATTTACCTAACATTCAATGATACCTCCTCCAGACAGATTCCTCAGTCACAGACTTGATTCTTCCCTGAATCTACATGGCATGGTGAAGCTTGATTCATGGCTGCCCGGCACCTTGTGTAGATGCCAAGATTTGATCAAAACAGGTGTTTTATACACAACTCTTCTGCATAGGTACAAGTGGTTGCGCAAAAGTGCAAGGTACGGTTTTACCTGGATCATTTGTATCTGGGGGAAGGGGGACTCACAACTTAGTTTGCACAGGGCTGCCAAATGAAGGATGAACTGCTTAGTTGACTGCTGTGACTTACCTTGAAGGATACTGCTTCTCCACTCAGCTACAGCACATCAGTAGTTTTGTGCAACTGTTTGCTATATATACTCCTAGAAACTTCACAAGCCCTCATCTTTGCAGTGGGGTTAAGCACTTCTGTGTTGCATAGATTCAGGACTAGCTACTCCTGCCATCTTTCTTTCCTGTGTTTTACTACCCACAGTAAGTGCCCAGTAAGTAGAGACAATACCCCACAACAGAAATTTAACAAGCCTACCAAAGCCCCTCCGTCCAGTTCCCCCAGACAATCAAAGGCACTGCACAGGATCAAGTTATAGTGAAGTTTTCAGAACGGTGATTTTTTTTTTCATGTGAAAACCCACAAAGTGTTCAGACTGGGTGAAAGTGCAAACATCTGTTTACTCTGAAGCATAGCCTAACTGCATCAGATCCCCTGAAGTCTTCAAAACCTATTTTGATAAAACCTATCACTAGTTAAGCATTTTCAATTGCTGGGTTGTAAAAAAGATCTCTGAGCAATCCTGATTCAAACCTTTCAGGATGCTGGTCTGTGACTGACAGGGCTTTCATGCACACACGCATGCATGCACGCACGCACAATAATAGATCCTGTAATCGTTACTTAATCAAAACTCCCACTTTAATTAATACACATTTCCAACTGTTGCATTAGGCTTATCTGCCCTTTTTGCCCTCATTTAATGACTGACAGTTGTTCCCCAGAAGCACTTTTCACCAAAACCCAGGTTGAGTTACATGGGAACTGCAAGAAACAGGTTCTCAAAATTAAGCTCCTAGGCCAGCAGTTCCCAAACTCTTCTAGGTTATGCACCACCACTTGCATGGGATCTGGTGAGATGCTGAGACCTTGATTTTTTCACTGAGGTCAACAGGAACTAAGGCACACTGCAGGACTATGTGCTTGCTACATAATGATGTGTACACTAGGAAAACAGTGAGCTGGAAATCTCTGTGCATGGGATTCCCATGGTGCTTCTGGCATATCTATGTGAGGATCAGCGGGCTCTCACTGTCACTCCAATGCTGCTAAGGAAGAGGTAGAGAAGCAAAGTGCCCTGAACAGGAAGGGCACATGGAAAAATGTCATCAGTTGAAGAATAAATTCTTTTTTAGGGTGGGGGGAAGGATTATAGGAACAACACTAGAATAAGAAGGTTATGCCAACATCAGAGGAAAATCCTGCATGTTTGGCCTAATGGATTTTGTAAATAAAAATTCCTGCTCTCAAGTAACATTGCAGAGATCATCCCAAGGGGAAAAGGTGCTATGAAGAAAACCAGCAGCACCTGCCAACCTCTCTGGCACTGGCTGCACACTGGGCGTGTCTACACAAGACAGTGACTGCACAGTAGCCTGATACAGTACCATTAGGCTACCGTGCAATAGCATTGCTTAAAAAGGTGGTTGCCAGGACTGCTGTGCAGTAATTCTAGTTACTATGCATTTATTTAGTACTTGCTTATACGCGTACTAAATAAATATACAGTAACCACTGCGCAGTAGCATCTTGTGTAGATGCACCCACTGTGTTGTATTTAAGTAAAGAGCAAATTCTGTTCCTCTTGCACACACATGGTGTCAACAGGCCTGATCCTGGCCTCATACATTTGTATAAGAAGGTATACATTCAGAGTAACTTGATGGAAAACCTTCACGGGGATGGGTCTTGCAGTCCTATGGTCTATGAATCTGACCCTGAACCATGACAACAGTTGGGAGTTGGCCAAAGATCTTAATAATGAATCTTCTTCTATCCCATGGCTGGAGTTTTTGCAGCATCAACTGAACTCCTTGCTTTCCTCCTTTGGACTCCACCTCAGACAACACAGGGATCTGTGAAACTTCTAACAAGCTGTGTCACTCTTGAATTGATTCAGGAGGCATCTGAATAGACTTCTTACATGTACCCCATAATCCAGAGGATCAACAGTTGCCTATGCCCTCCTTCTGATGGCAGTTATTGGCAAAACTTAATGAGAAGAGTGCCTGGTAAATACAGTGTGCTTTTCAAAGTCCCATCCTCTCCCTAAGATAAGCAGCCTTCTTGTGACACTATGTAAGCAGTCAGTAAGAGAATGATAAATGTAAAAATAATAAATCATAAAAAATATCTGAATTACTTTACAATATTGAGACTCATTTATGGAATTCATGGACTACTTAATCCCACCGGATAGAAGTCACCCCCTCAAATTCTGTAGAAAACAGAAGGACTAAAACTGAACACTGAAAATGCATTTCCTTTAAATTAAATAGATTTCAGTGTTAGTTTGGGAATGGCTTTATATCCTTAAAATATGCTACACTGAAACTAACATTAGAAATAATTCGTTTTCAACACAGCATAGTGCTGTGAGAAAAAGCACAGGATCTTATTATATCTGCACGGGTGTCAAAGTTCGTAAGCATTAATCAGTTCCATATTTAATTTAAATAGTTTTCAGTTGAATAGCAGCTAATTACATTGGACAGCGATAGCTGCCTATCATTTAAGCAATGATCAACCAGCACAGTCATCTATTATATAGTATTTATACTAATATAGGACCTAAAATGAGGCACAGTTAAGAGTCCTGCAATGGCTCTTAACACGTGGGAGTTATAGCCTTGCCCTGGGACTTGTATCTTAAAAACCCACCTGTATATGGGTATTGTCATTCAAACCGGGGAGTCAAGGATGGGTGGAGGTAATGCTGCGTGTCTTAGCTCTGCCAGCCCTGAGGTATTTTGTTCAGGAGGCCCTCTGCTTAGAAGCAGCGTAAACCTGATGATCTCAAAGTCATGAAGCACTTTAGCACAGCTCAAAGCCCTACCATTTAAGATTTGCCAGGTTTTATAGATGTTAATAAAACTGGGACAAAGAAAAAAAATCAAGATTTGCCATTTCCACACCACCTGCAAGAGAAAAGAATTGATGGCTGCAGGCCCTGTTTCTAAGGGGCATCGGGTACCCTTAACTTCCACTGAAGTCAACAGTTTAGGGCACCAGCCCTTCACAGAAGATGCCAATCACTTGCTAGGAGAAATCACACTCTTTATTATAATACAGATCTCAGCAATGACTCAATGACATAGTTTGTGTTAAACAAGCATGCTGTCCCTATGAGAGCAAAAGTAAATAAATTCTAGAGAGAGATAGGGGCCTGGGAGTAGGGCCTTCAGTAGTGCAAGTTGTTTGCACTAGGGAGAGTCTCACTTGATAATATGAACTGCCCAAAGGTGCTTTTACATTTGTTAACTATATAGTGGGAAAAGTTTGCAAAGCACTTTTAAAAAATTGACATAGAAATCTAAACAACATAATGCAAAACTTAGATGACGTGAACCCCTCATGCCTGCATCTGATCAAAATGCCACTATCCCACTATGACCATGTGTTAAAATGCATGAATCAAGTTCCGAAATCACCTGAGGTAGCCTTAAATATCATGACACTTGCAGAACTAGATCATTTTCCTTCTGATCGCTGCGCCTATGAGCATTTACATTTTCATGATTTTTCTCCAAAAATATGGGGCATCTTTACTCATGCATGGGGGTGTGTGTGTGAGTGTGTGCTTTAATTAGAGCCATTCTAATTGAAGTGCCCACAGCTTCTGGTGAATTCAGCATCCTGTACTTCAAAATGGCGGTGGAGGGGCTCTTTGACTAAAGCTCGTTCGACAAGCTTTGATGTGCCGCTACTGCCATTCTGAAGCATGGCGATGCTGAATATATGAGATACGGAGGCTGCTGGAGCATGCTACTTAGTGTACTCCAGCAGACTCTGTTAATCAAGTCTGCTCCGATGCACTGTAATTACAGTGTGTCGGAGCAGTGTCCCTGCACATCTGCAGGCACCCATGAAGGCTAGAAAATTACTGTTTAAAAGAAAGTAAAATTGAAAAGCTGAGATCCTTATGCTACAACAACTCTAGGAGACTGGGCTTTAAGTAAAATGTCAAATGTTGTGACAATCAGCAATGCTTGGTGATGAATGCTTTCAGATGAATTGCCCTGCACTATCATTTCCAATTCTGGCCAGGCTTTTCAGAAAAACCTGCAGCAATGTTCAAAACCCTGTGGCCTGCTTGAAAAACAACAGGTAACTTGGCAGGCTATGAAGCATACATCCCACACTACATCTGTCTTATATTTTTGTTAAAGGATGGACAAAGAATATATCATTTTTCTGAACTTGGTTGTCCTTAGTTTATTGCAAAAATTTTCTCTAAGTAATGACAAACGTGGACTTGCACTGTGGACTCTGAGAGCAAAACAAGTTAACAACAAAGCCGCTTGTATGTATTCAGCTGCCAGGATTCCCGAACCTGGAATATGAAACAGAAGTTGAATTTCAAGCATGCCCCCAAACACAGACGTCTTGGGCTTTACAAGGAGCTGTGCAGAAACCACTGCCTTCTGACAACAGGTAGAAGATAACCCAGTGGATTCACAAAGAGTTTAGCTGGGAATTTTGGACTTCTTTGGACCTGAAACTCAGCTTAAGCTACCCCGTAGCTACGTGGGGAATTCTGCCATCCCTGGTCTCCAGCAACCTCCTTCCCAAACAGACCTTAGAAATTCCTCACTACAAAATTTGATTTCTGGGTGTCATCCTCAACAAGATGTCTACTGGGCATAGTGGACTGGTCCCTCTCAGTCCTGCATATTACTACAATATACATATCAACACTAAGTTAATTACTTAACAATGCCATTGTTAAACAACAACAATGGAAATAGCAAAGTTGTACGTTTTGCATGACTTCAGCTATGAGCATTTCACGTAATGACTGGAGCTCTTCTACGGTTCCAGAGCACAAACTAGAAAACCTCATCCGTTTCCCCATTATCAGCTCCTACCAGGCAGCATTTTCCATTCCAAGTCAGTCCAAAACAGACTTTCCAGACTGCTGCTGACTGCTTGAATGTTGGAAGGGTCAATCTTTTGCCCAGGACCTGCAGGAGGCTTGGGCGAATTCTACTTTGGATAGTAATACTCAGCCTATCAAAAATTCCCTTTCAGGTTCACTAGATACAGCGTTAATCTTCAGTTTCTACCCTAAACTGCTGTTGTGTGCTGCCAGAAGGACAAAGAAATCCCACTGCCTGGAATTTACACTGCTACAACTGACATAAACACCTGACCTATTACTACATAACTTAGAATCATTAGGTTCAGTATAAAAATAAATTGTACAAAACATTTTAATTCTTCATTTCAAATGGAGACTTTTCAAATTGTTTTTCAGGAGGGAAAAAAAACAGACCTGAACAATTACTGTCTTTCTACCCCCCACTTGAAATAGTTGATAGATGATGTTCATCATCCTCTTGCATCTCTGGGTTCTTTGTGTGGACTTTCCAGGGCTTGCAGTAACAGTTCAGAGGCTACCAGAACAATACTAGCAGTACAGTACTTTGAGACAAGCAGACAGTGCCAAGTGTGTCAAAGGCTCAGATTCTGTCACTAGAGGGCAGGCACTTACATTTTGAGTGCTACAGGAGTACAATTTGTGTGAAGGAAAACAAAACAGATTAAGAGCGTCAGGCTTTACCCAATGTGCTACAAATGGAGTGAGACTCAGAGCCAAGTTTTATTGTCTTGAATAATCTAATAGGTGAAGCTCCTACTAACCTGATCCCAGTGTAACAAAGAACTGCTTTTTTGTCAAAATGTATGCTTATTTTACTAGCACTCCTTTGAAACTTTCTGGCAAACAAGGGTAACCTGGTGGAAACATAGAAGATGCTGGAGGAAAGAGAAACCTGCACAAGTGAACCTATGACTGCGGCACAGAAAGAACACCTCCAGAGCAAAAGTTGCTGCAGTGGTAGTAGCAATGTTGCTAGTGCTGTTCCAAATACTCTTACTCAGAAAACTCAGCTCTAACATATGCTACATTGCTGCATTGTGAGTGGGTCTGAAAAGCATGAGTAAGGTGTCTGTTCCAGTTACTCATTGCAATGCAGTCTCACAATGCACCTACAGTCCCTTCCTTGACCAATCTATATGCAAGGGCAGCATATGGATCTTATTTTCTTGCTTTGAGGTACTTGCAATTCAGAAAATTTGATTCATGATTTCCTGTAATAAGGGGTGTTGCATATACCTGTGCAACCTTACAATTTTTGCTTGCAATGCTGAGGCTATTTAATTTTACAAAAAGGATCGTTTTAAACAGGTTTAAAAAACTAGACTGTTCTCATTTCAGTCTCCTACCTTGGAGAGATGTGTTTTTAAATATATGCTGAACTTTGCACTTTAAACTAAAAGTTTCATGGATTCCATTTATTAAGGATCAGAGCACTGTTAATTATGTCCAAAACAGGCATTATCTAATCAAGTGTAGTACTTATCAAATAGTCTGCTAGACAAGTGAAGGAGGATCCAGGTGAAGACACAGATTCTCATCTCAGTTGTACCAGGGTAAGTTTTCAAAGACGTCAGTGAATTCAAGAGTACGTTTAAGCCCAGGAAATCAACTGAATTATTCTGCTAGAACTGAGATCAGAAATGAGTTCCAAGACTTTAAATGACACACTTTTTAAAATTTTGAGATCTCACACACATTTTTAGCAACCTAACATTATAAGTGGCAGTGCTCACCCCCAGGGGTCCTGAGTTATATTAAAGTCAGGGTTCCCTGACAGACCCCACACAGAGAGCTCACACGCACCATTGCCAAAAACGGGTAGGACTGTGCTGCTGCACCCTCTGGCTCCACTCCTTCATGTTCCCTCCCCCTGGGAGCACTTCAAAATGGTCATGAAGGCATACAGGGACTGCAGAGCAGGAATCCCTGAATGCCTCTTACCTCTGGTCTCTAGAGGTTCCCAGGACAGCTCAGCATGCAGGAGACTGCAAATAGGCTGTCCACCCTTCTCTTCCCCACTCCTATAGGGGGTGAGGTGAGGAGTGGGGCACTGTGGGACACAGCTGGAGGACACAGACTTTTCAAGAAGCACCTCAAAATGAAGCGCTTCAAAGATGCTTCAATTTTTTGGCAGATTTAAATTGCTTTGGCTCTTTTGAAGCACTTCATTGGGCACAAGTGTCTTTATCCTTGCTGTTGATAACTCTTAAAAGCAGGGGTGGGCAAAATGGACTGCGGGGCCCCTAAAAAATTTAGAAAATTAATATTACTCTGCCCTGGGCTGCCTGTCATGCAGACCTTGATGGCTTGCCGAAACTCAGGAAGCGGCCCTCTGCCCAAAATAATTGCCTGCCCCTGCTTTAAAGGCATTTAAATCACTTCAAACAGCATGTCTCTCCTTGGCCTGTATATATACCTTTAACAGTAGAAAGGCTGGACAAAACACCCTCACCCTGCAGAAAGGGATTCTCTTGCACATGCCATTGCAATCTATAACAATATTCTGTTGCTTGCTATTGCATAAGAGAGAATTGTTGTACCCGGCCCTGTCACTGAAGGCCGACCTCTTCACAGAGCAGGTCAGGCTGCTTCACTGCCAAAATCCATGGTGACCTGTTGCAAAAACAGCTATGGGCTTTATTCGCTGGAGATCATCATTATGTGAGTAAGATGGACATTAGTAACTATGGTTACCTACTTTTTCTTTGTATGGCTTGATCAGTATACTTTTTACCAAGCTCTAAAGAACTTATGTGAGGTCAAATAAAGGCAGAAAGTTTCTGCTTAATAAGTGATTCCAAACATCCTCTCTCATCCAGGACATGTGAAACGCCCAAATGCACAGAATCAGAGAAGTGGGGCCAGAAGGGACCTCTTAGAGAGAAACTAAAAAACCCTGGTTTGAATCCCTCCTGTACTGAACACTTGGGACCAGCTCTCCTGCACTCAAGTATCCAGCTCACATCCAGCATGCCTCAGGAGCCTGCTGCTAGCATTTAAATTGAAAACTCAGGGGCCACTGAAACTTGCCAAGACTGAAGGCAGCTCAGACCAAAGCAGAGTGGTATCATCATTACCTGTCTAAGGGTGGGAATTGTCTCCAGATATACTTTCAGAATCAAAATCTGCCAACTCTGCTTGGCCTTCAGGTGCTGCTTGACTCCAGCTGTCTGTACAGTCTGAGACAGCGTCGTCATCCCCTACTGTCACCTCCACCCAGTTCACATCTCCAGCCTCCTCGTTCTCCTCACTAGCATGACCATCTTGACTATGGCACTCCAATCTGTCCATGCCCTCAGTCTGGTTCCCTAACAAAGAGTCTCTCAGTGGTTCACAGTCTCTTTTAGACCTCACCACTAGTTTACCCACATTCTCTTCATTCAGCCTTTTATGCTCCTGGTAATGCTGCCGAGACACCTCGTTACCATTCTTTGGACTCTCAGTGCGTTTTGATCCCTTTTTCTGGCTTTGCTCATTATGACCGTCAACAACATACTGGTCAATCCATTTTAATGTCCCCATTCTTAGAGAGGATCTGTTCTCCTTGAACCAGCGGACTATTTCAGTTCTAGTGAGCCCAGTTTGTGCTGCTAACTGGTCATACTCCTGCGGTGATGGCCACTGGGTTCTTGCAAATGTGCTCTTCAGTAGGTGAATTTGTTCTTGGGTTTTTTCATTAAATGCTATGGAAGATCCAGACAGTGAACTGGGTAGGTGGGAGCTATTCAGCAGCTCACTCTGGCTTATTGTACCATTGTGGGTTCCTCGATCCTTGCTTTTTTTGTTTGAGCCCATTGAGTCTAAGACAGCTTGCTCCATGCTATCCCTTAGCTTTCTCCTCTCAGAAAACCAGCTATCGATCTCTCTTCTGCTCAGCTTGGTTTCTGCCCTAAGCCTGTTCAGTTCTCCTTGGGTCGGAAAAGAACTTCTAAGGAAACTGTCTTCCAGGATTCGAAGCTGCGCTTGTGTTTTCTCTTTGAACCTCTGGGTGGTGAAATCTGCATATGTGTGGTACGTACGCCCATGACGTGCAGCTGCAATTGCTAACTGATCTTTCGCTAAGGATTCGCTAGTGATATGAACAATGCCCCTTTGACTTCTGTACCTGTGATCACTGAACCACTTCTTGATCTCACTCCTGGAGAGACCCGTAACTTCTATTAGCCTATAGACTTCTGCATCGTTAGGAAACTGGCTCATGATAAAGCTGGCCTTTAGCTCTGCTATCTGCTCCTTGGTCTTTTTTCGCTCATTCGTTGGTGTCAATGATGTGGCATTTGCCTTGGTTGTTACCTCAGGCACCTGAACTACATGTGGGCGCTTGGATTCTGGAGCGCCTGGTAGGTTTTGTGTTGTCCGTTTCTGTCCTTGATTAGGAGCAACAGCAAGTGTAATTGGGGAGCAGGAAACTGTCGATCCATTTGACACTGGAGTCAAAACTAGGCCAGTCTGTCCCAGTATCTGGCAAGGCAAAGCAGTCTGGATGATTGGCTGAGACATTTTTGCAGTTGTCAGAGGTGCTGGCAATACTGTGATTGTTTGAGGTACTGGCTGGATGGTACCATTAAACATCTTCTTCCTTGCCTCTTCTACCTCTTCGGGGGACCAACTTATGCCATGCTTCAAACGCTGGGTAGCAAACCAGATCCTGATTTGCTCCTCTGGGTGCTTTGATGCTGCTGTCAACCATGACAACTCCGCTTGTGTTGGGTAAGGGAATTTATTAAAGGAGTTGATCATGGTTGCATTAGTGTCCAATGCAGAATTGTATTTGGTGCTGTTCAGAGGGACTGGGACCTTGGGGACAAGGTTGATATTTGGTGGCAGCTGTACAGAAGGCATAACATGAGCCAATACGTCATGCAGCAGGTCAGCTCCATTGATACAAGCAATAGATTCGGTGGTTTCTGTAATGACTTGGGGGAGGTGCCCATCCACATGGTTTTCCATAACTCCCTCTTCCAGCTTCTTGGGGCCCTTTTTGGTCTCCACTTTCGGTTTGCCTGTTTTCATGATTGGGGTTTTACTTACACTGATCCCACCATGAAGGGATTCATCACACTCTGCATTTTCTAGGCCGCTGTTTGCAATAGGGACATCATTTGTTGTCTCAATGGATTGTTCTAAGACAGTTTGATTATTGCGTTTGATTAATTTAAGTTTAAAATTATTCTCTCCTGGGTGATATTTTGTGTTATGGTCAGATAAGGAGTCATATTTTTTGGTTGTAAAGTTACATTCAGCGCACACATAGAGAGGGTTGAGAATTACATTTGGGTGCTGTGTGTCAACATGCTCTGTAAATTCATTTAGGTTTTGTGTTGAGTAAGGACAGTATTTACATTCATAACCACCTTGGAGCTTCTTGGATTGACTCTCAACTGGAGGTTTCCCCTCTGCCACCTCACAGTCTTTTACAGAGCTTTCTGTATCAGCCACCCAGCCATCTTTAGAGTCCTGCTGTGAGATGCCTGCACTCCTTTCCTTAAGGGCTTCTCCATCCTCAGGAACTTCCTGCTCCATTACTTCTGAGGTTCGCACCATACATGGAGTTGTTGACTTCCTTTTGCTTGCCATGGCAGCTACTATAGTGTGTGGATGTTTCAGATGGTGGTCTCTTTTTTTTGCAGATATGGATGAATCCAAAGCCACTTTCTCAGATGTCTTCAACTTCCTGTGAACGTGGTAGTTTGTATGTTCCCAAAAGAGTTTCGGCACCAACTGTGTGTCAGCTCCAAGCACCAGACATATTAGGTTGCATTACAAACACCTGCAGAACAAAACAAACACAATTAGAGTCTTATTTATATTTTTAAAAAGAAATCCATCACCCAAGAGAGTACCCAAGCCTGGACAATGCTGTGTATCCTTCTTCTCAATGAACTGAGTGGCAGAATCAGGCCCACAAAAAATAAAGAGAGTGAAAATCTTAGAATATAATGCACTGAAATTAGAAAATGGCCTCAAAACAAAGACAGGGCACACAGTTTGAATGCTTATTAGAAAACCAACACATTTAGCTGGGCAAAGGAGATGCTACATCTATAAATACTGTAACTTTTTTTAGAAGCTTCAGCTTCTATTAATTATTATTTTGAAAAGCCTGCAGATTTAAAATTGAGTGTGGTTAATATTAAACTTAATTACTTTTCCCTGGGGGTCAAATCATAAATAAGACTATGAAATTAGGGTGGATACAAATCAACAAGGATTTCTAAATAAAGAAAGAAGGTGTATCTTTCTTGTGGTTGTACAAACAGAACGGAAAGGAGAGAGAGAGGGCAAGACAAGAGGCTACTGTACACAGACCCCACTTCAGAATCCTGTGCCTCTATCTATAGTGAGTTAAAATAGACAAGTGATAGATACATCGACTTACGTAAAGATGCTGTATGTTACAGTTACATGACTAACTTTACTTCAGGAATAATTTCTACTGAAAAAAGTCAAGCACAGGTGGGAGAGTTTTCTAGAAGCTTCCACCAGACAATGCACGTTAATCATGCCATACATGGCAATGTGCCACATATTCAGAAAATTTATGACACTATAAAATGGTAAACCAGCCACAAAGATATTCATTATATGCAGAATGTCTTTGTGGCTGGTTGTATGCGTCTCAAACTGAATGTATAACATATTTTCTCCCCATGCTGACAATCTGCTGATTACTGGTATTAGGATGGGGCAGCCTTGCCCTGGCTCCAGAGTGGGGGCTGGCCTGACCAGCTGCTTGTCAGCATGAGGAAGAGGGCAGCCCAGGGTCTCTAACTAGGAGGTTTGCATAGGGGTCTGCCATTGCGAGGCAACACAAAGCCAGGCATCAGCAGCCTTGCATGCAGGACTCCTGAGCTTCTGAGCAGATGGAGCTGGCTGCCCCCCCCCACCACCTCCCACTTGCTGAGCCCCATGCTGGGCAGCCCAGTACACAGCTTTCAAATTGTCAGAGCAGTTGGAGCCTCGGATCAGGATCCCACATTCTATATGGGCTGCTAAGTTGAAAGAAATTGGGATCTGATCCCTGATCCCCCAAATCACCAGCCCTGTCATAACATATGTGGCATGCCAGAATGTGCAATTGTTGGGATCAGGAATCAGATTCACAGTACCATTAAATTAACATCTGCCAAGGGCCTAAATGCTCTAAAAGTATTTCCTCAGCTCTTTTTAAATGTTTCAAGGAACAGCTGTAGGTTTCTGAAGCCCTGAGGATGTAAGGATTTTTTTAAAATAACGTTTTATTTCTTTTTCTTTAAAAAACATGACATCAACACCAGTCAGTGCAACAGCAGACAAGAACAAAATGACACAAGCTGTATTATGAACTATCTGTGCTGATGAAGGGGGTGGAATATAATTGTCACGACACTTCCATGTACTTAAAAATATTGATGTCAGTGTAGATTTCACTTGCAAGAAGATGGGAGTTCTTAAAGGAACACAGAAACTTTCTGAGAATATCTGTGTGGAGACACAAATAGTTGATTTTCAGAGGTGCTGAGAACCCAAAACTCCTACTGAAAGGTCAGTCTCAAGGGCCAAATTCTGCTCTGAGTATTATAGATATAACACCAGATTAATCCCACACACCAACATCACCTCTAATGAATTTATACCAGTATAAATTTGAGGAAAAACTTGCCTCAGGTTATTTAAGAAAAACTTAAGCTCAGGTAACACAGTTAAGAAATAGCATTTATAAAATGGCTGACTCCCTTTTACATTTCCAATGGTTCAGGCTATAGCAGTTACAAAACGTACATCTCTGGGCGTATCTATGAGATGCTAAAAGTGCACTAAAATTAGTCTACTGTGCACTAGTGTCACTTAAAAGACGTGTGCCAGCACTGCTATGCAGTAGTGCCAATTACCGTGCATTAAGTTAGCACCTGTTATTACTAAACTTACTGCGCTGTAACTGCAGTGCGTTGATGCACATGTAGACATGTCCACTGAGGTGCAGGCCATTTTTCCTCTCATTATTAAACTTCTGTTGGTTCATGCTGGGACTATTCAGGGACTTAATTTAGCACAGGACATGGCTGCCTACTTTATGAGTGGAGCATCCTCCAGGGAGAAATTCTCATCACTACACAGAGAAGAGTTTCAGTTGCTGTCTCCATGGAGTGAATCCAGGCAGCTGTACCTACTGCAAGCTAAATAGTCTGGGGTAGCCCATCTTCTTGTGCTTTCCCAAATCCTTAGAAGAGGCACAAACTCTGCTGAAATCCCCTGTGGATTCAAACTTGCATTTCCTCTGGCATACCCTGGATTTTGTAAACTAACTTCTGTGCCTTCTGCAAAGCTCTACTTCACAACAGGCAGTCAGGAAGGGTGGTTTATTCATGGAGGGACTGGACAGTGGAGTAGGGTCTTATGAAATTGGCTCTTGTGAAGTGTATGGGTAAACGACCACCTTTTTAAGTGTCTACTAATTGGAGAATTTGAAATCGGTTAATATAAGGATCTAACTGCAGTGTTGACACATTTTCAATTTTTTAATCATGTGTTTTGAAATGCTAAGAGGCATCCAGTGTCCAAAGATACTGGAGGAATCCAAATCAGCTAACAATACAGAATCTCCACTGAATACAGCAGTGGTCAGCAACATTTTCGGCTGAGGGGGCCAGAATGACCCAGCTCGGGTCTGAGGTGAGTAGGTATCAGGACCCAGTCACTGCTGCTTCATTTCTACAAGGTAGCCCAAAGGAGAGCACCTGCTGCTACTGCTTCTCCCTGCAGCAGCATGGGGATAGCGACTGTAGCCAAAGCCCCCTGCCATTCAAAGTTGCTGAAGCCCCACATCTGTGGGCCAAATCAAATGCTCTGTGGGCCAGATCCAGCTTGAGGGCTGTAGGTTGCCCTGGGATATACTATTCTCTTGAGCAATGTTAACAGCTATTTCATTCCAGCCCAAACAGCACATCCATTTCAGTGCCAAATGAGATCATTCTTTCCCTATCAGTTTTTGTGATCCACTATATGTCCTCATTAAATGCCAGTTTTTTAAATGGTAATACTAGTGTGGAGAAGGCGATGCTTGTTACATTGTAGCAATCTTGGAGTAAGTAAATCTATGCAGTCTTGTGCTCAGTCGACTTCCTCTGCTCACTTGCATTAGGCTGGAAGGGCATGCATAGAATTCGACGTGTTAACACAGATCATTCATTGGCGGGCTGAGGAAGGAGGCTAATACATAGAGGCCCCTCTTCAGCAAAACAATGAAGCACATACTTAATGTTAATCATCTATTTAAGTCCATTTTTACAGGCTTTGTGGAATAGGGATGGGATTATGTGTAGACTTACCGCTAAGCATGTGTTTAAGTGTTTTGCCAAAACAGGACTCTTATGTCACATCTCTTGAGAACACCAATATACAGAAGAAAGGAAACATGGCCTGTTTCCCAAAGTTTTATAGCATCTGCTATGATACACTGAAGTGTTGGGCATTTTAGGACTGACCCATGATTTGTAAAGTACTTACCCACAATGGGGGAAGAATTTAGGCTGCACATGGTCTTTACTCCTAATCACATACCTTTCTTGTTACCGGAGCTCTACTGAACCCTCCCGGTAGCATCAGCTGGGTGCCCGTGTAAACACAGCTCTTGCATTTCCATCACTATTTTATTCAAACCTTCTCAGAATTAGGCGAGTTGTTACAGCAATGAAACCTATCTCTACCACTGCAGGAGGTCAGAGGTTGTTAGACAGAAACTGGAATAGATCTAGTGTGCTCAGCCCCTCATCACCCTCCTGTGTGGCAGTTATTCCATCAAAAAGGGCATGTTCAAGTCTGCCCGTAGAGGAAACATGTGTTCACACTTAGGTGAGAGCACAGACTCCAGCCTAGGCAGGAACACTTCACAGTCACTTCTATAATTCCACTACTTTTATTTTAAATAAAGAAGGGAGCTTTCCATCTCACTTCCCCCTATTTATTCTCCTCTGACTTATTTTCCTACCTAGCTCTTTCTCTGTATACCTCAACACATTTTACAATGAGGTTAATAGCATTCTTGCCATTTCACCAGTGGGGAAACAGATACAAAGCAGCAAAGCGACTTGCCCAAGGTCCCCACCACACCACTGGCTGAACCTTCTGAATGTCCTTCTGGGCCAATGCTCCATCCACAAGTCTCTCTCCCTTACAATATTCTGCTCTTTGCTTTGGGTTACTTTATCAAATAAAAGTCCTATGCCAGAAATCCTATGCCTCAACCAGGCACCGACAAAGAGCTGTGGGCTAAATCCAGCCCACGGACTGTAAATTTGACACCCTTGGCTTAGTCGGTTAGAAAGTTAGACCAAATCTTTTCAGCTGCCTGCAGATGTTAAAAAAAAATAAACCGCACTTTACCAGAAGAAGCAGTGTGTTACTACGACCAGGCTCCTCGGCATCTATACAGATCAGGCGTTTCAGTGGGGCTTTTTGGCGCTTTTATCTAAAACTGATTCAATCAGCTGTTAGATCAAAGCACCAAAAAAGCCCCACTAAAGAACGTGATCTATATAGACGGTGGGGAGCCGGGTCCAACTAATGCACTGCCTCTTCTGGGCAAGCACTGGGCTTGGTGCAGGAACGCACCAAGGTTAAGTAAAGCACCATTTTTTTAACATGTGGAAGCAGCCTTCAAGTTGGTCTGTGGTTCCCCTTCTCTAAAAACCATGACCCATTCTCTAGTGACTGCACTAGCCCATCCTCTCTTCGTGGGTAATACATCAAGAGTGTGGGTATGTGAAGCTGCACACACAGAGGGAAGAACAG